GAAGGAAATGGAAGAAAGAGAAAGAAAGGAAAGAAACTTGGAAATGGGCATTGGGGTTACAAAAACTGAAACACAATTTCATCAATTCGAAAATCCAAAATTTACCAAGAGAATTTATACATCAAAAAAATGAAAAGGGGTGTGGATTGGCTCTATCACACAGACTACAAATAAACTTTAACATCTGATGAAATACATCAAATGTCAAATCTCCATGGCCTTAATCCATGTTGAAGCTCAAATTATACTTATGCCTGAGTATGTCACTAAATTTAATCAAAATACTCTATAATCCTGCGGAAGTTATGAAATACAAAATAGAAACAAGCAAGTGTACCTCACCTTAATTGTCAGAACTATTGACTTACTTAAATTTCACATGATCATACCATCAATTGCCCCTGAAATATCTTACAGTGGTCATGGACACTCTGACTCAATGAGAAACAAATTAAAATTAAGTTAAGTTGCTGACACTTACAAATTAGCTTTACAAAATGGGATTCTATGGACAACCCCCCAGTTAAAATAGTTAATATGCCCAATATAAACTAAAATAGGTCCTTCAAAGAGCAAAATTCATTATAGGGGATACATAATATACACACTGTTTCTCCATTCAACAACCCAATTTGACCTGTTTTTAAAGCTAGAAAGAATAAACGTAGCTCACAGTGGATTACCACAACCCTAATGCCATGGTCACAGCCATTAAGGTCCACTACCCAATATTATTGAAATTGCTGACCCTATCTAATTAGTACCTGGTAAATATTTGGCTTTTATGAGTGGAGACTGAGAGCCAATTCAACAGGCTCTCAGTCACATTTTGTCTTCTGAAGGAGCACAATACATCTTTACCCAGACACTCACTGAGTACTTCAACAGCCTTGCCATTACACAGTCTTTGCAGGCAAGATCTTAAATGCATCTGACTTTCCCCATGAGCACAAGTATGATATTACATTGATGAGTCCTCCTCCAAAGAGATTCACTGGACACAATCATACAGGACATACAAATATTCACAAAGGAGTTCACCTCAGTTAAGGTCCTGAAATTATTTGGTAATCCAAAGGTCACTACATTCCTGACACTGTTAAGAAATAGCTATTGACCCTCTCAGTACCCACAATACTAGAACAGGCTCAACATTTTTTAGGCCTTTTGGGGTTCTGAAGGCAACATATCCCTTATTTATAAATTTTACTTAAGCTGATTTATGCTGTTACTTGCAAATCAGCCCATTTGAATGGGGACATTCTCCAACAAAAGGCTCTACAATCTGTCCTAATTGCAATACAATGGACACTCTCATTCATGCCCTCTAGAGATTACTTCATTTTACAGGCGTTAGCAACCTTCTCAAGGCCTCCTGGGGTCTCTGTCCTGACCACCTTGAATGGCCACTCTCCCTTCAAGGCCATTCCATTTTCCCTGTAAATCATCAAAGAAACCAATTACATCTGGACACATCGACCCTCAAGAGGTCTCTAGGCTGGTTGTAGGTTTTGAAAAAAGAATTCTGCACAACAGCTTATATTATAAAAGCATTTTATTGAACACACTCTGAAGGTAGTCAGAACCAGAACAAAATTTGGGATTGGGGTAGGGACTCTGTTTGATGGTTTAGATACTGAAATACTTTGGATTTTTCTCTCATCAAGGACCATGCCGTAGAGACTTAAAGGCTGATTTGAAGCAGAACATAGAATCGCGGCTTAGGAGACTAGAGACTGGGGATTGGGCCTTTCTGGAAACCAAAGACTGTAGTTCTGCAATAAGCTTGGTCTAGACTACACTCCAGTAAAAAGGAAAACTTGGCTTGGCACCCATCTAGAAAGGCAGTCACCAGGGGCTGGGTTGCTGCTCTTGGGAGGCAGTGACTTGCAGCAAGCTCTTAGCTCTTGAAGCTCTTCCGGGAAGAGGAGGTGGTGGAGACAAATTTGACGCTGGAGCCGCTGCCCCCGCCGCCACTGCCAAAACCCCCTCCCAGGCCTCGGCCACTGCTTGAACTGAAGCCAGAGCTCCCCACACCGAGCCCACTGCCTAGGCCGACACCCCCACTGCTGCTGGAGTAGTAGCTGCTGCTGCTGCCACCTCCACCAAGACCACTGCCAAGACCTCCACCGAGGCCGCCGCCAAGACCTCCGCCGAGGCCTCCGCCAAGACCTCCGCCAAGACCTCCGCCGAGGCCTCCGCCAAAGCCACCACCACCGCCGTAGGCAGAGGAGACGTTGCTTGTGACGACTGCTGCAGAAAAAGAGGGAGAACTTGGTGAGACCAGTCTGTCAGATTGATTCTACCATCCCATTTATTTGATCCTTCTAGTGTTAGTACTATATCTGGCCCCTTTTACAGAGTAACAAATGAGGCCCAGAAAAACTAAGTCATTTAGTAAAGGTTCCGAACAGAAAGTTGGTGAACATAGTAGATAAGGGATGGTGCTAAATCCTGGGGGGATAGGGCAAGGCAGGGAGGCGGGGTACAAGATAAAACATGAGCCACACTGCTTCATGTCTCAGTCTGTGTCCTCTACCCTCCACCACCTGCTTCTCACTAAGCGTATGAAAGAACCATATATAGGGGTGGGAATGTCTGGAATCTAGAAACAGCAGAGATTCTGAACTGATACCAAGTACCACATATTATCATCATCATTGTTAATGTCTGTTTAAAGTTACTTACAGATGTTGACTGGTCCAACTCCTTCTCCACTCAATCTGAAAGGGGAAAATTGAAATAAGAGTTAAAAACTCCCCAAAAGATAGCACGAGTCCATGTGGATAACTCTTAGAGTCACATTTAAAGCTTGATCTATAAGCAGGGAGCCTGTGTACCCTAAAAAACTGCTTAAATTAGAGAGATAGCTCTCTTTCTCAACGACGAAGACCTGGCCTAGAAACAAGTATCAAAGGAAGATTATGATTCACATACTCCTCCACCCATTATATGGAAAGCATGAGTAAGAGGCTGCAGGAACTATGAACAAGTACGAAGCAGTTTTTGCCTTGTGGGAGCTTACATTCTGTGAAGCAACTTGGCATGACAGAAATACTTCTGACAGAAGGTAGGCAGTGGGCAGTGTCAGAAGATTGAAGAAAATGGAGCAGTTTGAGAATCCAAAAGCAGGTGAATTTAACTAAGCTGGAATAATCATGAAAAGCTTCCTGCAGGAAAAGTACTTGAAGAATGGGGAAGACATCTGTTGAATTGCTTAGTTATTTGAAGGAGAGGCAGCATCCAAGAATACTGGTCAGAAAAGTGAGTTGGGACCACACTGTGTGGGTGAGCTGTATGCCCAGGTGTCAGATTGAAACCAGATTAATAATGGATAATTATCATGCACACAATAGTGTGTGTGTGTGTGTGCGCGTGCGCGTGTGCGCGCGCATGTGTTTACATCCTGTTGTGGAGAAGAAGCTCTATTTATCAAATGTGAGGCCATCTCGGGCTTGTGATGTCAGCCCTACGTAACCCACCTGCACTCCTCGCCCTCCAGCAGCTTCCTGTAGGTGGCGATCTCCACGTCCAGGGCCAGCTTGGTGTTCATGAGCTCCTGGTACTCACGCAGCAGCCGGGCCATGTCTTGCTTGGCCTTCTGCAGAGCATCCTCTAGCTCAGCCAGCTTGTTCCTGGCGTCCTTGAGGGCCATCTCCCCACGCTGCTCGGCATCAGCGATGGCGTTCTGCAGGTTGGCACACTAGAAGGAAGCGAAAAAAGAGTAGGGACACTTTAGTGGTGAGCTAGGCCTGAGCTATTTCTTTCCGAGATTCCAGAGTTGTCCTGGTCATTGTGGATGCGGGAACACTGCCACTCTGGTACTTGTTCCAGCTCTGGGTGTATATGCATGTGTGTGTGTGTGTATATTTAGAAAAATTAAAACAAAACAAAACAGGTCTCTCTTTCAGAGCTCAGGCCCCATCTTGCTTTCTTTCAGCCTCTCCCTACCTGCTTCTTGACATTGTCGATCTCAGCTCTCAGCCTCTGGATCATCCGGTTCATCTCAGAGATCTCATGCTTGGTGCTGCGGAGATCGTCGCCATGTCTGCCAGCTGTCTGCTGCAGCTCCTCATACTGGTGCCACCAGAAAAGAGGAAAGATTCCATTTATATGAGGGTGGAAACACTTTCCCAACATTCACAGGCAGGAGATACCAAGAGGTGGCAAGTGGTCATGTTATCTGGGGCCTGAGGCTGGTTTTGGCTTTGTCAAGATGGATCTGGTCTTAGATAATTTCCTTGTTAGTGCTTTGCTTTCCTGGAGACACTGGTGTGAAATTCAAAGTGAGATTCTCCTTAAGGTTCTTGAGTTTATGTGGCAAAGGCACACATGACTATCCCCATAACTCAACCCAAAAGGCCTCCACAGGTTTTAGGAGCCCCATCCTTAGCATTTTGTCATGGCCTAAAATCCTAGACACATGACCATTCCCTCCCTCAGGACACATTTGCCAGGGCACCAACCTTGGTCTGGTACCAGGACTCGGCTTCCGTCCGGCTGCGGTTGGCGATATCCTCATACTGGGCCTTGACCTCAGCGATGATGCTGTCCAGGTCCAGGGAGCGGTTGTTGTCCATGGAGAGAACCACAGACGTGTCTGAGATGTGTGTTTGCATCTGGGAGAGCTCCTGCAAGGAGATTTGAAGTCAGTCATCTGAGTCTGCATTATTTTATGTCAGGTCCATTCAAATATTTCACTCATTCTGGTATGTCAGCTTGAGAAAAAAAAAATAGCCACCTACATCAAATATTTAGATAAGTTAATAAGTAACCCAAACCATATTAAATCTATTTAAAAATTTTTTTAACAACTATGAACCTCCAGGAAATATACTATGTAATCTATCAGATGTGAATCTCCTTGGGTCATAACTTATTTCAAAAGAATCTAGTCTAGTAATTGCCATGCTAAGAGAAAACAGAGAAGGGTGGTCCAGGAAAGGTATACGTGTGCCTCTAATAACTCACTCTAAACCTCACTCTGCGAAGTGATTGTTAAAGAGGTCTTTTGCTTTAAATTTGGCTTTTTTTTTTTTTTTTTTAAGGAATTGGCTTTATAAGTAATAACGTGTGAGTAGTACTAAAGGGATAAGAAAGACAGGGACGTATCCACAGCTTAGAAGCCACTGGAAGTCACTTAATCCTAGAGACCCTAAGCCTGGTGGTGTCCCAGTGACCGTCTCGCTGAGTCCTGAATAAGGACATCTCTTACCGCCTCAAAGAACATCTTCAAGAAGTTGATCTCATCCATCAGTGCATCGACCTTGGCCTCCAGCTCCACCTTGTTCATGTAGGCAGCATCCACATCCTAGAGAAACAGGGATGGTTGGCACTGCAGGATGGTCTCCACCCTGACTTAAATGAACTGACACCGTAAGAGAGCACAGCCACAGGCGACAGGTTCTGCTCTACCCACGCACCTTCTTCAGCATCACAAATTCATTCTCAGCGGTGGTACGCTTGTTGATTTCATCTTCATACCTGGGAGCAAAAGGGATGGGAAGTGCTTATCAGAAGATGAGGGACAGGTGAGGCCTGGGGTCTTAATTGCATAAAGTCAATTGCATAAAGTCAGCCTGCTTTCCCACTGGGAAGGGGCTTCTCACATCATATAGGCAGAGAGGGGGTACTGGGAGTGTGAGCCCCTGGACAAGGTCCTTACCCATTAGGATATTGCTTTTTCTTTAACTGACCACCAGATCATCATTCTTTAATTGCTATAATTCAATTGCTCCCAGAATATTCCTGTAGAAAAGCTGTGCTATTTCTCTCCATCTCCAAACCTAGTCAATTTCACTAGTGCTTTTTTCAGCTTTCACAGCCTTAAAAAAAAAATTTAAAACTAGCAGCCCTGGTTCATAAGGACTAAAGAAATTATTTGAGCCATGAAGCTGGGTTATGTCATCAATTCCTGCTTTGTGGGGAATCCATCGAAAGCCCATGTTCTGTATTTTGAGGGTACTCGGGAGGAAAGCCCAAAAGAGCAAAGATTGCATTGCTGCGGTTTCACCAGCTGGTACCAAGGGTGTAGAGCTTGTTGCTCTGGCCGGTGGCTAAGTGCCTTGCAGAAGAGCTGAGCTTGGGGCTGGAACTTCCTAAACATAGACCTGGATTTTATTTTAGTACTTTGGGTATTTATAGAAGGCATATGCATCTAGCCTGTGAGAAGGGCATAAGCAGTAGTCTGGTTATGAAGTACATCTGGTACCAAGAGGACATCACCCTCCCCTGTCCACTCTGCCGCAACTCACTTGTTCTTGAAGTCCTCCACCAGGTCCTGCATGTTTCTCAGCTCCGAGTCCAGGCGTCCTCTCTCCCCGAGGACACCGTCCAGCTGTCTCCTGAGGTTGTTGATGTACTGCTCGAACAAAGGCTCCAGGTTCTGCCTCACGGTCTTGGTGCCCTGCTCCTGCAGCAGGGTCCACTTGGTGTCCAGGACCTTGTTCTGCTGCTCCAGGAACCGCACCTGGAGGAAACAGAGTTTGAAGATGGAGAAACCAGATTTCATGTTTCATTGATTAATCATCAGTTTTTCTCCCACCTCATGCTGTCCCCCTAAACCTTTCCTGTATGCAGTGCCTGTCCCTGGGCTCTTAGGTGCTTAGAGTGAAGCACCTAATCTCACTTCTGGGGAGACAAGGCACTTATCTAGGACACAGATAACGCTGGGTACGGCTGGGCAGAGTGAGGTCCAGTGCAATAGTGGCTGCGAAGGCACTCAGACTGCTACTGCCCAATGAACTCGTCTACCTTTCTCTATAATCGGCCCCGTTACACGAAGTACAGAATTCATCTCTTTGCCCAACAGTACTCAAGGAGCCCTCATGGGATAATCTCTGAAAGGGAAGAACTAAGACCATCTCTTTCAAGTCTAATTAAGAAAATGGGCCACAAATCCGAGACACAGAAACAAGTAGAAACACATAACTGTAAACTATGAAGGATTTCATACCTTCATAAATTCTCCCTCTTCCTACTCTGTTTGGCATTTGTTCTGCACTCACAGTGGTATTTCACAAAAGATCATGTCTCACCTTGTCGATGAAGGAGGCAAACTTGTTGTTGAGGGTCTTGATCTGCTCTCGCTCCTCAGTCCGCACCCGCTGGATAGTGGGGTCGATTTGCAGGTTGAGGGGAGTCAGGAGATTCTGGTTGACCGTGACCTCTTGGATGCCTCCAGGGGGACAGACGGGGAAGCCGGGGCCACCAAAGCCACCTCCAAAGCCAGGACCCCCACCGAGACCAAAGCCAGCACCACCACCGAGCCCAAAGCCACCACCAGCTCCACCGCCTAAACCAAATCCACTCCCGGCTCCACCTCCAAAGCCATAGCCACCTCCAGCTCCATAGCCACCTCCAGCACCGGCACCAAATCGGTTCCTAAAGCCACCGCCACCAGCACTGATGGAAATCCTCTTGGAGCCCCCCAGGTTGTAGAGGCTCCGACTGCCATAGCCACCTCCTCCACCAGCACCCCCAAGGCTGATCCTGCCAAAGCCGCCACCGCCACCGCCACCACCGGACCGGGACACGGAGGTGAAACTGGTGCGGGAAACAGACGGAGTAATTGCAGAGGCGGCGCTGAAGCTCCGGCTGCCCCCACTCCGGAAAGACACACTCGACTGGCGAGACATGATGGCTTGATCCTCGCGGAGCAAGAGTACTAGGCACTAGGGGTTGGGAGGTGCTAGAGAGAACAGAGCTCGGCAGGAAGAAGCAGGTGGCTCTGTTACCCGGGAACCACAATCCCCTCTTTTATCTTCTAGAACGGGGGTTGGGCGGGAGAGTTGTCGAGCTGTGAATGATTAAGTGGGCTGGGCACGCCTGGGGGGCAGCTGTGAGCTCACCGTCACACCTGCACAGTGGTGTGGGGTGCAAGCGCTTTCTTCCTGGCAGGCTCTGCTTAGTTAGGAATAACCTTGCCTTGCAGCACTAATGTCTTGGCAGCAAATTAATGACACTACAGCAAGTTTCATTTCCCCACGGGGGCCCAGGGCTGTGAAGAGCCCAAGAAAGATGCCAGGAAGCAAAGAGGCCTTTGGCCAGGGTCTTGAGGGATCCTTACAGGACCAGTGATACGGTCAACTATCCTAGCACGGTGTACACTATCCATGAGTGGGAGACAAGGCAAGTCCCCGCTGGCGGTAATCTGCCCTTGTGACTCTTCTAGACAGGTTGCCGCAAGAAGTTTCAGCACTTGGAAGGCAGCTGTAGCTTGATATCTCAGCTATGTGCCAGGGGGAGGAATAGACCCATCCTTTACTGCAGAATTTCCTTTCTTGGGGGAGGCAGTTATTCCAGAATCCAGAGAAAGTTTCTCCTGCAAGGTTTGGACCAGAAAGGCCACCAAGCCCCAAGCTCCAGACACAGTGAAAGTGGGGGCACCCTCAGCCTCTGGTGTACGTCACTTTGCTTTCTGCAGAGGCAGTCAGTCCTCTCCCTCCACAGCAATTCCTAACTCAGCATTTTCTATGGGATTTAACCTTTTGCCTTGCACTTCAGCCCGTACAGGACCCTGTGGGGCTGAGCAAACCCAAGAAACCCCTGGGATCCCTCATAAAAGTCCTGAGGCTCAGCTTGGCAGTCACATCTCTCTTCAGAGGGAGCTGCTCTGCCCGCTCCCTGGCCCCCCAGGTGTGTTCCAGCAAGCTCTCAGTTATTCCACTAAGCGAGAAATGAGTCATTGTATCTGTTGATACAGGCTGAGGGCCGCCACAAACACATACCTGCAGGAGCTTCTAATCTCATCAGAAACGTGTTGAGAATCTGCCTGCCTGTTATAACGGAGAACCTACCCGCTCTGAGCAGCGGGAACTGCTGTGCTTTCTGTGGGCTCTGGCCCAAAGTCTCCTTCAGGGCCAGGGAAATGGAAAACGAAATTCTAAGTCTATGAATCGCCCTTCCAGCGAGACTAGACAGAGCAGGTTTGGAAGACGAGGAAACTGGCATAACAATCTGCCCCAGTTGCTTTAAGGAGGACCCCTATAAGACGCTCTGCAAAGCTTGCCCAGGTGGGCTGTGGCACCAGGCAGAGGAGAAGGAATCTGTTTAGGCTTTGACAAGAGTCTGTCTTAAACCACACCCCCTCTTTTTGGCTGCAGACCTGAATGGGGCCACCTCTCTGCCTCCCTCAAACAGAAGCAGGACTCTGAGGCAGTGCTTGGGCCATCAAGAGCTATGAGGGGTGTATCCCTGGGCTGGAGCTGGAGGTAGGGGTTGAGGGGGTTGGCTTTGAAGCCTCAGGGCTGAGGGGCTATGTTTTCAAGAGTAAAAGAGTGAGGATCTAACCTGAGCTTCAGGATCTCTTGTCAGGGCTTGTCCTCGGCCACAAGGAAACCATGGCTGTGGGAAAATGACTTCGAGCTGCTGAGGATCAGCCGAAATATGATTGCTCACTAGAGGCTATGATGTGAAAGCAGTGGACGGGTAAATCCAGACAGACAGATCAATGGCCAGAGCTGGCCTTACAGGTCTTAGGCAATGAGGTTTGGGTTGCCTCCCTGCCTGGAGAATTCCTGAGACTCAGATTAATTTTACTGAGTTTACCAATTTCACACTTTGTTGCCTCTCAGGGAACAAGCATGAGTGTCTCGGGAGCCCTGAGACATATTGGGGGCCTTTTAGCCGCTGATAGAACAGATCTAAGCTTGAAGCAGGTGCCTGGGGACTTCTAGCACAAGTTCTCTTTCCACTGAAAGTTCGCCATCAGATATGTCCCCACCACAACAGAGGTCCTGGGTATAGTCCCCACTGCCTGCGGGGAAGCTCCACCCCTCCTGAGACAGTGGAACATTCTCTTCTCTCCATTCCTCCTCCTCTCAGCTATGCTGTGGAAGGGGAAGGACTTGGTGGAACAGGAATGTATTCCGGCCAGTCTGAGAATCGCTAGGGTGTGCCAAGCTCAGATCCAGATGCAAGGGACCAAGGGTGTGTGAGTAGGCAAGTAACTGTGGCAGGGAGTGTTTGGATGCCTGACACGGGGGGAAGCTGCACTTCATGTCTGGCTTTTTAGGAATCCTCCCCCCAGCAGACAGGGCAACCCCTCCTGCAGCGCCAGACCTGGACAACTATAAACAATGGAGATGCTTGCCTGGGGGAGCCAGGTACCAGCACCACTGCAGTGTGGGGGAGTCCCACCCCAGCCTGGAATTTCATTGTGGCAGGAAGGGAGGGATTACACGGAGCTTATCGAGCTTTTCTGTTGAGTACCCACTAAGGGAGTTACCAGGACTTGGCAGGACACATTACATAGCTTCACCGGGCATCGCTTTTCCCATCAGCATAATGCAAGTGCAGGGTTAAGCGAGCTATAGTGCCCTGCCCTGCTGGTCTCTCTGGCAGAGAGAGGACAAGGATGACTGGTCTGGCCTCCCTCACACAGGTGTGCAGAGACAGAGAATATGGGCAGTGTTTCTAAACAGGGATGACCATGCAGGGAGTGGTCTGGTCCAGGTGTCCATGAGGCAAAGATTAGGCAAATCCTGCAATACCAGCCCAGGGCTCCCTCCTCAGAGACCCACCACAATCTGTATGTCTTTAATAGAAGAGGTGTGGAATAGAACGTATTCAGTAACACACATTTTTAATAGAAAAATGTTTTGCAAATGTCCTCTAGGTCTTACCAGATGGTGTACTCTCCAAGGTTAGGAAACACATCTGGCTTACCTTCACATCATCGTACACTCGGCCCAGGCTTGCACACTGGAGGTGCTCAGCGAACACTGAATTGAATTGACAGAAATAAGGTCGTTTCTCTTACTCCTTCCCCAGATCGTTGTGTGGGGCTCTTCCCAGCCCAATGCTGTCTGCCTGCTTCTGTCCCTGGGTCCATGTTCAGAGGACACGTCTCTTGTCCCCTTCAGCCTGGGCACCTTCTGAAGACAGAGCTCATGACTCTTTATTTCTTGGACTTCCCTCCATTCCTCTCCCCAAACCCCTGCCCTGAGAGCACTCTACACTTGAACCCACAAGTAACCCCCATGTTTTAGCCCAGGCACCACATCCCCCTCCAGGAGAGAAAGTCACAGTGTCTTCATCTTTGCAAACCTTCTATCCCACGTGTGTTCAGCACAAAAAGTAGGGAGCAATAGCAGAGGCATGAGTCACCTATTGACTGGGCAATGGTTGGCAGCCCTACCTGTGAGCTGGAAGCCAGATTCAGCAGGTTTTTGATCGGGTAGGGCAGGTGGAGCAGCACGAGCCCCGGCAACTCTTCACAAAGTCCTCGCCTCAGGGAGGAGTTGAGGGAAGAATTTTTCTGCCTCCAACAAAGCCAACGGGAATTCTGCCCACACCCCAGCTCTGGGTCCCAGCTTTGATCTCACTTAGATTCTCAGGATGGCAGGACTTAGAGGAGACCGGCCCCTCTGTGGACTGGGAAGCTGGATGCCCACCCGCTGGATGGAAGCTGGATGAAGCTGAGGCTGTCTAATAATGCTGGGAACCCCACCAGCCTCTCTAGGACTTTCAGACCTAGAGACATAGAGATACAAATGTCCACAGTAAAGCAACCTCTCTGCCCTGGGCTTTGAAGATGGTGCCATTATCTGTGTCATGGGGACGAGGGGTCCCTGGAGTTGAGTTTTCCTGTGCAAGGGCCTCACACAAATTATGAGTCACAGCATAGGTACATAAGACCAAGCTCTGGGCCATGTCTTAGTCCTAATCCAGCTCTTAAACTGTGGGGATCCTGGATGCATAGCCCAGCCTCTCACTACGGTTTCTACCCCCTGGTGCTGGGTGATAGGTAGTCTGCACTTGCAGAAGGAAAGGGGCCTGGGCTCATCAGAGGAAGCCATGCGAGCTGGAATTTTAATTTGGAGCTGGCTAGTGTTGGGCAGGAAGGGTGGGGCAGACAGGCAGGGGGCTGTGGGGAGCAGCTTTGGCCCCCACCCCTCAGATTTAGCAGGCGATTGGCACTTGTGGGCGAGACTGCAGAAGAAAGTTCTTAGTCTCCCTCCAACAGGTCCCTGCAAGTCTGAGAAATGTTCTTCCCTCATTTGAAGGTGTTTTGCCAATGGCATACCAAAGTCTTTGAAAATCCCCCTTGGTTGATTGAAACTATGGGCTGGAAGTCAACAAATACTTTAACTAGTCAGAGGGACTAAAAAAAGGATATACGGCAAAAACCTCTGTGCTTTGCTTCCTCATGGAGGGTGGTTCTTTTTTTTTTTTTGGCATTTGCTTTGGTCCTTGCATATGGATGTGTATGTGCCTGGAATTTGCATTTTTTTTGCAGAGACACAGTTCATCTATACCAGGCTCCTATCCTTATAGGCTCGGAAACATGCGAGGGAGCATGTTTATCCTCTTAACCTCCCAGATTCCTTTCCTCCCTTTCTCCTCCCACTGCGGGAGCCACAGCTAGGGACAGGAAGAGGGAGGCAGGGACTGGAGCTGCACTCTCGGAGCCTCTGCTTGGTGTGCCGTGTCCTGGTCCTGAGGGGCCAGGGCAAGGTGCAGGGGGCAGAGTCTGGTTTCCATCCAGCTTTCCCTTCGGCTTTGGGTGAGCTCCAATCACATGAGGTGAGTCAGTGCAGTGATGATATGATGAGGAAGGAAAGAGCCGATGGCGCTGAGGCGGGAAAAGTTACCGCTCTCAGGGCCGGCCTTAGGAAACACACTTGGAGTTAGGATGGTCCTGAAGGCAAACGAACACCTTCCCAGTCTGGACCCACCCTCCCGTCTTCACACCCCATAGGCACATAGACTGCTGGCCTTGCTCATTTTCGACTGGGACCAGCAGTAACTGTTGAGAGCTTGTGAAAACAGGTTAGCTTTCCCCAAGAAAGACACAGCATCAAAGGCAACCGAAAAAAGAGAGCACAGAAACACTTTTACCAATTATTTCATCATTGCTTCATTCGACATGTGTATTTTGAGCAATTGTGGGGTGCCATGCATTAGGCCTTCACATTGGGGGTACAGCAGTGAATGGGGTAAGCCTTTGCAGGTGATGAAGGATCTGAGCACAGGACTGGGCCTCCTCCCCGATCTCCTTGCCAGGAGCTTTGGCCCCCA